CTATTGCATTTTGTATTTTTTGAAAGAATTGTTCAAATGGTTTATGTTGTTCTTTATCTAATACTGCCATCACATAAATATATAACTGAAATTTTTAAAAAAAAATTTAAAATTTAAAATATAACTGATAATTTATCAAATATATATGAGTAATTATGAATTAATCTTACACTTGTTTGACAGATATTTGGATGTGTTACTTTTACAAATTCCATTTGAGTTATTGCATCATTTATATGACCTTTTGCAAGAAAACATTGTGCTATACCTATAAATTATTTATTAAATAATAAATAATTCAAGAAAAAGAAAGGAAAAAAAAAAAAGCTTCAAGAAAATTTATCATTGATAAAAGATAAGATAGAAAAAAAAAATTATCACCAATTAATATTAATTCATTTGGCGTAGTAAAATCATCTTTTAATGCTTCAAATGTAATTGCTTCAGCTGCTTTAAAATCTCCACCTTGTAACAATAATCTCATCTGTTCATATAAACAGTTCTGATTGTTTGTTATCGAAATTACTCTATCAAGTAGCTTTCTAGAAGTAATTAATTTTTGATTAGTAAATATAATTTAAGGGGAAGACTTTTAAAAATTAAAAAATTTGACTAATTTAACTGATTTATAAATTTAATGAGTTTACTATGATTGCTTATTACTACACATTGTTTTGTTTCATTTTGAATGACAAAAAAAATTACATAATTAAATTAAAACATAACAGCTAGCAATTAGAACAAATAAATTAAAATATAAAGCTAGCAATTAGAACAAATAAATTAAAATATAACAGCTAGCAATTAGATCAAGTAAATTAAAATATAACAGCTAGCAATTAGAACAAAAAGCTTAGTTTACTTGACTGAAAAAAAATTACTAAGAATATCAATACTGAATTATGAAATGAAATAATTAATTTATATTTGATTAAACTTTGCTTATGCTTATTTCCTCTTCTACAACTAATTTTTTTTTTTTGTGAATAAATAATTAGATTTAATGAAAAAGAGAAGAAAACTTGGCAAATTTAGCTGCTGGATGATCAAATGTAGTAGTTCGAATGATAAGCTGTGCAATTTTATAATGCAACTGATAATTCTTTGATTCATTTTTCTCGATTACTTCAGCAAAATTTTGCAAAATATTTTCCATTTCTGTTATACGACCTTTTATAATCAATTCATTTATCATTTCAAACCAAAGAACTTGCAAACAATCATTCTAAAAAAAAAAATTTTTTTTCAATAATAAATTCATTATTTTTAATTTATATTATATTTCTAAATGCTAACAATATTTTTCCTTTTTGTCTAAAATTTCAATAAATGTAAGATTATTTTTGCAAGTAAAATTTTTAAAATATTCTCCAAAAAATATTAAAAATTTGTGAAATCAAAGAAAAAAAAAAATTAAGCTAATTTTTGATAATAATATTAATATTTTATAATTGTAATTAAATACCTGTAAAAGTAACGTTCGTCGTATTTGTTCCATACAATGTTCCCAATCAAAGCACATCAAATATACTTTACAATATTCAATATATCCCGGAAGAAACGTTGGAGCTTTTTTAATTAAAATTTGAAGAATTTGACGTAACTCTGTTAAATTTCGTCGTCTTTCCAATAAACGTATCATTCCAATGTATGCATTAGGATATTCTAATTATTTCTTTTATTTTTAATTTCAATTTCAATTTTTTTATTTTTAAATTATAAAATTTTCATTGGAGTTAAAATTTCATTCAAAAAAAATATACTCAATAATATTTTTAGTGTAATAAATAGAAAAAATTAATTGTTTTAATAATTACAAGTTAGTTTTTTTTTTTTTTGTTATTTACTATGTAACTCTTTAAAGTTTGAAAGCTTTATAACTCTTCAAAATTAGCTTCTATTAATTTTTGATGAAAAATTTAATGATAACAGATAAATTTTAACAAATTTCCCTATATTTTTTAAATATAAAATATGCAAAAAAAAAAAGAAAAAAATTTCTATTTTTAAATTTTGTAGCAAATAAATACTTTGAAGAAAAATGTAAACAAATAAACCTGCTGTAATGCCTTTTTTAAAAAGTTTTTGCGCAATATTTATATCTTTACCACGATTTAGCTCAATCCATGCTTTCAAAACAATACACTGAAAAAAAAAACATTCCATACAATATTAATATAATTTCAATTTAAATTATATTTTGAATTTAAAAAAAAAAAAAATTTTAATTAATATAATAGAATACTTGAATATTGCTAGAATTGATTGTTTTTTCAATTATTGAATAAGCTTTATCATTGTTATCAAGTAACATGCATGCAATTGCTGCATTATATCTTGCATCATCATTTGCATTAATATATGCTTCATTGATAATTTGATCCAATTCCGATATTTCTTCTCGATCTATGATAGTAATTAAATAATTAAAGAATTAAATCATTATTTGTAATTAAATTAAATCTCATAATTAAATTTCTTTATCTAATTTGTAAAAAAAACATAACATTTTTTTGCAAAACTTTTTATTGCAATTAATTTGAAATTAATTATTTTGTTTTAAATCGTAAAAGCTTAATATTTTAGCACAAAAAAAACCTGGATTTTTGAGCAAAGAATGCGCTGTTCGAAGAATTATTGATGCTGCAAAACCAATAATTGCATCATGATGTTGTTGATGAAGTAATCGTACTACTTCAACATATTGACCTTAAATTAATATATTTATTAAAGAATTGACCTTAAACTAATGATGTTGAAGAATTTGTAGAATTAATAGAAAGAAATAAAAGGCATATAAGATTCTTTAAATGTTTAACAATTGAATGACAAAAAAAAGCTAAGTAAAAATAATAAATTCATTTTTTATTTTTAAAAATAATTCAATAAAGAAAGAGAGAGAGAGAGAGAGAGAAAGAAAAAAAAATGATGCAAAATAAAAAATGAAACCATATTTAATCATAGCAATTGATCGAAATAGAATAAGTTGATGTGATTCGTTTGCTTTATGTAATTCCTCATCACAAATTGTCAAAGCTGTCCCATAATAACCTTCTTGAAGATGATAAAGTATATTGCAGTAGAGTGACCAGTCAAGCTCTTTGACCTCTTTGTTTTGAACATTTTTCATTCTATTTCTATAAACAAAAAGGTGTAAATTCATTCATAAAACATACACTTCTTATTTAATTATTACTGATTATAAAAGCAAGAATGAAAATTTTAAAATTATATTTTAAAATTTAGACAGGCAATTTTATTCTAATATTAATTCAAATCGCTCAGTTAATATTAGTTAAAATAGTTAACTTAAATTGATAATTTATGTTGACTTTTTTTCTTTTTTTTTTGACTATAAATTATATTTCTATCAATTAAATATGAGATTTGATGGAAAACGAAAAATAGGAAAAAGGAGAAAAAAAAAGAAAAGAAAGGGGCAAAAAGCAAAAAGTTGTTTTTAAAGATTGAGAAGAGTTTTTTTTCTTTAAATTTTGAAGAAAGTATTACTATTTAAAGATAACTGTTTGATATATGCAATGGTTAAATGTTGATTTAGAAAAGTAAAGAATAAGATTTAATTTTTTGTTATTTTTTTTTTTTTTTCAAATAGTTAATAAATAATTTTTTTAAGAAAACATATGAATGCAATAATTGTAGAGAATATAATGCTTAATTAGTAGATGATTTATAAATGAAAGAAATAGTTGAATGAAATTATGGAATAAATTTGATGTTGGATATACTATAAATCATAAGAAAAATGCAAGTGGTAAATTTAAAAGTAATTAAATTTAAAATTCAATTCAATTTTTTATGTGGAAAAACTCAAAAAAAAGTCAAAAATAGTGTGTAGACGAAAAGTTTTCTTTTTATTTTTTTGTAAATTTTACAATTTTCTTTTTGATTAATAAACAAGAGGGAAAGGAATTGTAGAATATAGCAAAATATTAAAGCTGTTCAGTTGCCTAGCAACAGAATATGAATTTCAAATTATGCCTCACTTAATATTAGTTTTGAAATTAATAAAATGCTTAGTTTAGATTTAATGATAAAATTTAATCCTATTTGAATGAATTAGTTTCATTTGTTTGATTAATTTGAAAAAAGCAAGCAATAGCAAAAAAAAAAAAAAAAAAAAAAATTTTTTTTGAAATTTGCTGAAATTAAAGAATCCATTTATTATTTATTCGTGAAAAAAAAACCACGTTTTCTTTCTCTTTCCCTTTTTCCCTCTCTCTCCCTCTTCTCTCCCTCTCTTTCCCTCTTTTTTTTCTCCATTTCAAATTTTGAGAATAAAAATGTTTTTTGACAAAGGAAAATAATGATAGGATGAATATAGATATAACATTATAATAGATGATTCATGTGAGTATTGTATAGTTATTTTTAATGAAGAAATTATTTATTTAAAAAAATATATGATTGAAAAAGTAATCAAATTTAAAATATGATTAAGGATTGGAAGAATATTGATCTTTCCTGATCACTTTGATCAAATACAATGCAAACCATTTATAATTATTATTTGAGCAAGGAACAATTTTAATATTGTTTTTTATTATTGGAAATCAATAAATCAAAGTTTTTTAGATAAGAAAAGATTCTCATTTCCTTCGCGATTTTTAGTATAGTGTTGAAAATTTTCTCCGATTTTAATGATTTTATTAGATATTCATTTTGACAATGAAAATTTATTGGTTCACACACTACTTATTATAATTATAAAACAAGAAAAATTTTAATTTGAATAAACTTCAGCTTCTTTTTTTTAAAAAAAAAAAAAAAACAATTTTTAAACAAGAAATAGCGTCGAAAAAGATAAAATAAAATTTGTTTAATTGAAATTGAAAGAGTGAAAAGAACAAATGTATCACATATAATTAACCATTATTAAAAATAAAATAAAATAATTATTTGAAATATTTACAGTTCTATGCAAATCAATGCAAATATCTTTATAATACACAGAAATACTATAAACCGTTTGAAATATTATTTTAATGGTTTAATAGTGAATTCCACGTAGAAGTGATACTTTCTTGATTACTGCAAACTTTTTGTTCAAATAAAGTATTCCATGGTGTAGTACCCCATAGCTGATATTGCTTTTGCTCAACTGATCGAGAAACATCTGTGTTAGTATCTGAAACAAAAAATTTGCTAAAAATCTCAAATTCTAATTAAAAAATTCTTAAACTGCTTAATTATACAATTTAATAATTTTTCAGTTAACTGTTTACTTCTTCTAAACTTTAGTTAACATAAGAAAGTGAGAAATCTAGTATTTTCTGAAAAACGAAAATATCAGAATGAGAAATGAAAGCGTACGTTACGTGTTGCTTACCAATTGTAGCAGAGTTACTGGAATACAAACTATTTCTTGCGTTTACGGAAGTTTGTGTCAACAGGGAAGGCATCTGAAGAGTTAGTAAAATATTATTTATTAAAAAAGAAAAAAATATTAAAAAAACATCTAATTAAACTTTATGCATTACTTATTTTTTTCACTGCTTAATTCAACACTGTACAATACTAAAAGTTTAATTTTCAAAAAATGTGCAATGATAACTTATCACTTTTAACTATATCAGTTTTACATTGCAATATAGATATGATTCAAGCAATTACTGTAAAAGATTGTGATAATATTTACAAAATTCAAAATTATTTTCAAAAAAACGGAGTTGATCAAATTAATTCTAATTTGATTTATTTAGCAAATATTGTTTTAATTTTTTTTTTTTTTTTTTGCTTACCAAAGGAAGTGTTGAGCTTGTGGTAGAAGCAAACGATAGTTTTTGCATTTGTTTTTCAGTATACTTTACATCAACAGCAAATATTTGCTCTCGACATGGTGAATTTTTAGTGGAATAAAATGAAGGGATAGTATGCGTATCTTTTTTAGAAGCTGAAAATTAATGAAAGTTATCATTTCAATTGATAAAATTATATACTCTCTGTGAATTTTTTTTTTTTTTTTTTGCTAAAATTATTTTGCATAAATTAAAAATTGATTAAAAAATTAGATTGATTGATTCATCCAAAATTATGTTTACATGATTTGTGCTAAATATAAATGATAAGCATAAATGAAGAAATACTCTTGAAAACTTATTACTTGTTGTTGACAAAGATATGTGACATGACGAATCTGTTTTTATCGATGAAATTGATGAATGTCTTTTGCTGTATTCAAATTCATTTTGAGTTACATTTCTGGATGACAAATATAATTTCCTGTACACAATGTTGAATGATCGCAAAAACTGTAATAAATGGAAGAAATATTTTAATTATTCAGTTTTGAATTTTATTTATTGCTATTAAGCTAAAATCTAATCTTAAAATTTTTCAAATAAAAATAAATCAAGAAAGAAAGAAAAAGGAAGGGAGAATAGAGGGAGAGAGAGAGAGAGAGATAGCTAGAAAAAATAGCAATATAAATCATTTTTCTTTTTTTTTTTGGATTTTTACACTAATTAATTTTATATTCAAAATATTATTGAAAGAAATGAGTGGTTCATTTCTTCATCTATTCATTGTTATACGTAAAGATTTACAATGAAAATTTTAATTAATCATAAAAAATACTTTTTCATTTTCTACATCCTTGACATATTCCTGATGTATTGATTTTTCAAGAAGTTTAAATAAAATAACAAACCTGCTCCACTTCATAGACTTGATAGAAACCAAAACCATACATTTCTGATCTTCCTTGCTTTGAGCTAATAAAATGCACAAATTTTTTTGTCGGTCTCACCAATTGAAGTGTAGATGAAATTACAAATCCTCTTATAATTAGCTGTAATTTTTCAAAAGTTTTGTGAAAATATTCTAAAAATTATATTGTAAACATTTTTTTTTCTAATTCCATTTTATCTTCAATATGATAAGAATTTGATTAATAATTGATACAAACAAATATTATCAAATCTATCTTAATTTTATAGACAAATTTATCTGACTAGTTCAGTGTAATACTTTTAATATAATATCAATAAAATATTATTGAAAAATTTTTTTAAAAAAAAAAAGCATATAAAAATGACATCAATGAAATGTTTTAGAGTAATGTGCTAATTATAAATTTAAAAGAAAAAAAAGTGTTTACTACCTTAATGCCATCAATAGCAATCAATTTTGCTACTTTATCTTCTCTATCATAATACATATGCAAGAGGACAAAATCTTTCGTCAATTCATGCCAGCTATTTCCTTCAAGTTTGTAAATTTGCACTGTGACACAAGTAATATGCTTAAATCTGAAATCATATTTAGAGTATTTAAGTACGAAATGATAATGAAAATTGACTACTAACTAATTCTAATTTACACATATACAATTTTCTCAAAAAGCACTGCAAATTTTGGTGCAGTAGACATTAACCGACCCTGGCAGGGGTCGAACCTGCAATCTTCTGATTAGAAGTCAGACGCCTTATCCATTAGGCCACAGGGTCGACATCATCACCACACAATTTATATTTTATAAATTTAAATTGAAAATTCACCGATTTTTTAATAGCAATGCTGTATTTTTATTCAAACCCAATAGCTCCATACACGCAAACTTCAAATCATAAAAGTGTGAAAAATTTGTGCTCAAAGATGAATCAGACAAAACTTATTCAAACAATTTTTGCTTGCAACACTAGACTGTTTCATTAAAAAATGTCTATCACTGATGAATGCCAACATATTTTGCATATGTAAATGCATTTTGCATAAATTAACATCTCATTATAACATTCAATCGTACTTAATTCTAAGTAATTTAAAAGTAATTGTATTATTGGAAAGAAAAATTCTTACCTAAGTTAATTGTTATGTGTTTTTTTAATTGTTATCATATAATTACTTAATTGTTATCATATAATTACTTAATTGTTATCATATGATTATTTAATTGTTATCATATGATTACTAATTTAACTCTGCCCAATCAATAATTATACCAGTTAACCAATATGAGTAGTATTCCTGTTTTTTCTTATTTTTTTTTTTGATTGTTGTTAATCTTAATTTATTTAATTTAAACAAAGTTAATAAAATTTCTAATTCCAAATTTAAGTAAAATGCACTCATTTGCTAAGATTTAAATATTTATTAAATGAGAAAAAATTCATTTTCTTTTTTCATTTTAAAATCAATACAATAATTGCAGAAGAAATAATTTATTTAAAAGTACAATAAAATGACTAACAAACGTACGTAAAGCATGTGAAGATGAGATTATACGTGAAGAAAAAGTGTTATTTCACGTAAAAAACAACATACGTTAAATATACTTGTAAAGTTTTTTCATTAATATCTTAATCAACTATTACTTTTTTTAATTTAATTTTTTTCGTCTTTTTTTTTTACTTCTCTAAATCTCTTCATTGCGAAAGATCTTGTTGGGTGATATTATTATTTGATTATTAGCACCGAGTGCTTATCACTTATCATTTTTTATCTCTTCCTATTTTCACTTAAAAATCATCAATATATTCTAATTTAAAAGTGGAATATAGGGATAAGATAAAGGGAAAGAAAAGGATAAACTCTAAGATTGAAACCTTTTATCACAGTTACATTATAAATTACTTTAAAATGGATTAATTAATTAGCAAATTAAGAAAAATATGTTGGATAATTTTAGGAGAACGAAATTAAATACAAATTAAATACAATAAAGCAATTTTCTAATAAATTATTTTCTCATTAATATTCACATAATCCGTGCATATTTCTTCTGGAAATTTCTGTATGGCATAAATTTTTAGCATTTTAATTGCTAACACTGAAAAAATTACTGAGTAAATGTGTCAATTTCAAGTGGAAAAAATAAATATATGCAAATTCAGGTGGTTTTGTTTTTTAAAAATTTTAAAACTCTTAAGAAATAAATTTTTTCAAAATTTCAAAAAGTAAGTTTTTTATTTTTTGCTATGAATTACAAAATTAAACATTTTAATTTCTTTACTGATTAATATATAAAAAAAAGTTGCATTAAGCGCAAATGAATGTAAATCAAAAATTGTTCACAAGGAAATTTTTTATAAATTTTATTTAATTTTTTTTTTGCAATGATTGAAAGCAAATGTGTACTATTTTTAGCTTATCATTAAACAAATAAGCAAGCAATTCTATTTATGTTTGTACATGCATCAATCAAATGCTAATATAATCATACAGTAATGACCAATGGCTACTAAACGGACATCACATTGGATTTGAAAAGAAAGAAAAAAAGAGACAAAAGTTGATAAATAACTAAATTTGTTGCATTCTATGATTTAATTACAGTTTACTAATGAGATACAATTCAAATGGTTAAAGTTAAAGTTAGTAATCAATTTGCTTATCCAACTGGTCATTTGCATTTAAATAAATCTGATGGAATATATTCGTTTCTCAAATATTATTATGATATTAAATTTAAATTGTATGGACAATCTATCTCTTTCATATTATACATTCTTAACAAATGGATTGTATTATTGAAAAAGCTTTGAATTTAAATTTAATTTAATGATTATAATATTTATTTATATAAAAATTTTTCAAAATTTTTATACAATATATATATATATATATATATTGTATATAAATGAATTAAATGATTGAAAATTAAAATTAATGCAAAATCAAGATTTACTAAAATTATGATGTAATAATAAATAGTGTTACTTAATTATTTATATCATTTTGAGAAATCTTTGCATTATTTATTTCATTTAAAAATAACCATTTAAATTTAAATCTTTCAAATAATAAATTTTATTAAACATTTTATTCATTTGATTAAATAATCCAAATATTCTTCGCACTTTTTTTTTTTGTTTCCTAACGTAAAATTACTTTTTAGTAGATTAATTAGCACATCAGATCTTTTCTTAATTTATTAGAAAGTTCTAAACGAGATTTTTTCTAATTGTTTGAGCTTCTGTTATTGTAAGAGTAATCAATAAGATTGATAACTTTGATTCGAGTAATAGGAATATACATATTAATTAGTGTTATTTAATCAAAAAAAAAAAAAATCTAACACTTAATTATAATGAAAATAAGGGGAAATCAATAAATGTATATAATAGTATAATTATAATAATATATAATTTAAATAATTTGATCTTGGAAATCAAAAAAATATATAATTTAAATAATTTAACCTTAGAAATGAAAAAAAGTGAAAGGGTTGTTTGTAATGTTTAATAAAATAAATTTCATTTTTATAATCATTACAGAACAGTTTGAAAGATTTTAGATTTAAATGGTTAATTTCAAATGAAATAAATGAAACAAATAATGCAAATTTTTTAAAATTATATTAATAATTAAGTAATACCGTTCTTTATTATATCATAACTTTAGTAAATTTCAATTTTACTTTAACTTTTTGAAGATTCTTGCATCATTTGTTTGCTTGAAATTTTATTATTTTAAATACTATTTGAAAAAAAGTTAAATTATTGTTATATCTGGAAATAAATATAAGTTTTTAGAGAAGGGCAAAAAAAAAACGATAGAAATAGGAGACAATTAATTCAATAAAGTGGAGAGAAAAGAAAATGGAATAAAATTTTATTAAAATTTCATCAATGTTGAAAAAAAAAGGATAATGTTGGAATGATATTTGAATATGAATAAACATTAGAATTTTTCAATTAAATTTAAATTCAAAGCTTTTTCAATAATACAATCCATTTGTTAAGAATGTATAATATGAAAGAGATAGATTGTCCATACAATTTAAATTTAATATCATAATAATATTTGAGAAACGAATATATTCCATCAGATTTATTTAAATGCAAATGACCAGTTGGATAAGCAAATTGATTACTAACTTTAACTTTAACCATTTGAATTGTATCTCATTAGTAAACTGTAATTAAATCATAGAATGCAACAAATTTAGTTCATACAATTAATGCTATCACTTTGAAACAAATTAATTTCAATTTCATATTGTATAGCCATCAAAAAAAAAAAAGATTCACTTTAATCAAAATTAACCGAATATGTACTATGCTTCTTAACCGGACATGTACTGTGCTTCTTAACCGAGCATGTACTGTGCTTCTTAACCGAGCATGTACTGTGCTTCTTAACCGAGCATGTACTGTGCTTCTTAACCGGACATGTACTGTGCATCTTAAGCGGAGTGCTTTTTAACTGGACATGCACCGTGCTTCTTAACCGAGCATGTACTGTGCTTCTTAACCGGACATGTAATGTGCCCTTAACCGGATACGTAACCGTATACTTTACTTGAAACTTCGGAAACATTAAAAAAATAAAATCTCTCTCGTTATGTGCATATACTTTGAAGTATTATTTTATTTATTATTACTACTGCAATAAATTAAATTCCGGATATTCTTGCAGAACTTGTTTAAATGAAAAAATTTCTCCCTCTCTCTCCCTCTCTCTCTCTCTCTCTCTCTCTCTCTCCCTTTGTATGTGTGTGTGTCCTTCAAATAATATTTTCCATTGAAATTAGATATTTTTTTTTTTTTTGCTATCGATTTATTATTCAATATTTAATTCTTTTTTTTTAATTTTTTCAATAATAATAGAATAAATATTTATTAATAACAGAATATGAATTATTATAAAATGAATTTTATGAGAAAAAGAAATTATTTGATGACTTAATGTGACAGTAATTTATCAAAAATGTGCACATTAGCAGCAATCATTTTGCATTGATTGACAATCAAATTGATAATATCAAATATTTTCATATCAAATAGTTTCAAAAAAAAAAAAAAAAAGAGAAAAAACGAACGAAAAATAATTGAATTTTCTCATAAATCATCATTATTTTTTTTTTTAATAAAATAATTTCATTTTAGTTTAATTAATAAATTATCAAAGTTTTTTTTTCTTTTTTCTTCCATTAAAATTATTTCATTTTACCAATATTATTTGCATCTTTTAATGATACTAAATCAATTTTATTTCAATTAAATTTCAACTACTTTTCTCTTTTCTCACTGTCACATTTCTTATTGATTTCTTATATAAGAAATAGTGAAGAAAAAAAAAAAAATTGAGTTGAGCAAATACCGTAAATTGCCATAAATTTTGTCAATAAGAAATGATAGATAAGAGCAAAGGTCAACAAACAGTTGTTTGCTAAAATAGGCGGAAAAAATTAGGCGCAATAGACAGAATTTTTGAATACTATAGCGGCGGTATATTCAAATGAAAGTTACATAATAATGAAGTTATCTATTTTACTAGAAAATTACTCAAATGCTAATACTAATCCTAACTTTTGCTCATTTTAGCATTATAAGAAAGAATTTTTTTTTAGGTTAAGTTTTTTTTTTTGTTTGATTTTGAAGATTTCTGAAAAAAAATGTAAAATTTCAAATGTCACATAAGTACTAATTTAAGTTATTGTTACATATTTTTAATATTTTGATTGAATATTCACCTGGAAAATAGTTATTTTAATGTAATGCTAGTATGAAATTAAGTTAAACAAAAACAAAAAACGAAGAATTATGAGTTATTAAAGTCAGTAATACGTAATACTATATAGTAATATTTTTAAGTAATTTAAAT